AGGATAGGATAGGATAGGATAGGATAGGATAGGATAGGATAGGATAGGATAGGATAGGATAGGATAGGATAGGATAGGATACTTCAGTTGCAAGGGACCTACAATGATGATATGATCCAGCTGCCTGACCACTTCAGGGTTACTGGGAGCATAACAAGTTATTGGGAGCATAACAAGTTATTAAGGGCAAAACAATTAAAAGGAAACACATATATCCAAATTTAGGATTTGCGCCATTGGTGAGTCAGGGGGACTACTGAATGGTACTGATGGACAAAGTACTAGAGGAACTGTACTTAGAGGCTGGATAGGAAAGAACAGAAATGAATCGGAACTTTTTTTATACTTAATCCTCTTCAAGACCATTAATGGAGGTACAGATTTCACTTAAGAAGTTTGCAATGACCTCTCTATATGTCCATGTATTTTTTTTTAAAGGAGACTGAACATGGAAAGAGCAATCACAGTTCTCATTTGTCAGGAGGGCTCCTTCAAAATGCTCATGTATACTGCCCGAACAAGGTCTTGTATTGCAATGGAGGTGCATGATAATTAAAACTGGAGGAGTTAAGCAGCAGGGGAGGAGGCAGAGGGGAGCAGCTTGTGAGTTTCAAATTGAAAGGATGATTTTTTCAACTGGGCCTTACACATAATCTTGGAGCTACACCTTCTAGCAGCGTGGCTGCACACGTGTCTGGAGCTTTCATCCCTGTCTTCTGGAGTCTGAATGCCTGAGGCTTCAAGAAGTGTTTCTGCATATTCTTTCTTCTGGCTGGTCTTGTTATATCATATCGTTTTCAAGCTGTAGGAGGGTGGAAAGGAGGAGGTGCTGAAAAGCCCCAGGAAAGCAGAAGGTTTCTAATTTCTTCAATCCAACCAAGTGATGGAAAATTCGCCAAAAATTTTTTTCTGGTGTGATTTTTCAAGCTTTCAGGAAACTACTGAGTAACCCAGTAATTTCTAAAATCTTGCAGAGAAGTTCATATGAAGAGCAACTTTTCTTTTTGGCAAAGAATGGGTTTGGGTCTGCCTTGCCCTCTGCTAGCACAACTCTAAGGTTTTGGTGGGTTTTTTTGGTGGTTTCTTTTACTTTTAACCATTCTAATTAGTACTTAAAGTATTTTTGTTTGAGTTTTATGTCAGTTTTTTGATTCATAATAAAACCAGATATTGTGTGATCACCTGATTCCAGGTCTGTAATGACAAGCACCAGGTTCTCTGAAAGCTGCCAACATGGAAAATCCTCTTCATGGGGAAAGCATATCCTGCTTCTTGGACTCAGGGAGCTCCAAGAATAGAACTTTTACGAAGTGATATTGCCTAGTTCAATACAAAAGTGTTAATAACCAAGTTTCCTTCCTGTTGGCTACATCTTAGCATGTGCATCGTCACACTGGACTTACTGAGGGCTTACAAAGCTGGACTTTCCGAGTTCCAGCTCAGTAAGTCTTTGCACATCCCAAGAAAAAGAGAAGGAGGTTGCAGGAAGCTCAGTGCAGTTTGACATGAGCAGATTAATATCTTTCTTGGTGGGTTTTTATTTCACCAACTAGTTTTTTAGCCCAACACCTTTATTCTTGTCATCTTATGTATGTTCTAAAGGACATTTCTCACACATCTCGAGAAGCCTATGAGTCAGTATTTTTAAACTTGAAATTAGGTTCCTAAAACTATATCCATGAATATAAATTTTGTCACAGTTTTGGAAAGTGTTAAATATTCTGTAAATGTCACCAAACCAGAGTTTTGAAGCTGAATTAGCTTATAATATATAGTTACTTTCCAAAAGTAATTTATCTGAAAATATATAGGGGAGGAATGAAAAATCAGGAATAAGTAATCAACCATAAAACTTGCCCAGACCTTCTACATCATCACTGCTGGTTTTGGTTTTGATGATTGTGTATTTTTTTTTCCTTTTCTTCAAAGCTAAAACCTACATGAAGGCTCTGACAAGCAATAAAAATGAATTTGTATTTCTTTCTCAATTTTTTTCTTTACAGAAGGTGCTCTTCTTTTATAAACGTTTTTGATATTTTGAATTTAAAAAAAAAATGCTATGCCTAGGAGTTTAAAAATGGGCACTGAAAATGCACATTACATATCCCAGTGATAAAGTTTAGAGAAGGAGCTTTGGCCACACAGGAGTTTATGTGCTTTTCAAATATAAGATATTACTTTGATTTTTGCTTTTGGATTTGAAAAATTCTGGCTTCAGAAATTACTGGCTTCTTCTAAAACCCTACTCAAGAAATATTTGTGCCCTGAACAACAACTAATAAACATGTGTTTACTCCAGACATGGTTTTAGGTCACCTCCAAATGAACAGAAACATGTTATTGAAGCTTGTATTAAACATTCCTCCTGGGAAACGTTCTGACCGGGACTGGACTTAAATATACACTAAACTCAGACACACCCTGTCTCAGACCATGAGTTGTGTGTGAAATCATAATTCCCTCTTCCCAAGCTCTTGGATATATGGGAGGCAGAGAAAAAGGTTTTAAATTTGCATGTGAAATAATATGAAATGAGTAAACTAAATTCACCCCAGCCTTAAAATGAGAAAAAAAAACTAACCATAAACAATCTGTTCTTTCATTCAGGTCCAAGCAACTCTTCCTGGAGCTTTTTCTGGTTTGAATTTCTTATCTCTGTCACCAACAAGAGACTGAATCTGCATGCCATTCCACCACTGAAGTGAGGTGTTCTGAGTTGCTGGTGAGTAGGAGATGAAATAAAGTTTGCTGATTAGATAAATGTGATGGAGGCCCAGTGATCAGCAAGAGCTGCCGTGGATAATTTGGGGTTTTGCAGAGTACAGATTGGTGGATTAGAATCTAAGTCTGTGTCGGGTTGGATGTGTCTTGGTGTGTTTATATGTTCCCCTACGTGCCAGGTAACTTCTGCCCTGCAAAAAACAGGAGGGCAACTCTTCCCTAGCAACTCTCACTTACAGCCTGTTCCTCTTGTTTTGCTTAGTTCATCCAAAAAGGCTCTAAAAATGGGTATTAAAGGTACACAGAGTAAAAATGATGCTCAGAGAGTGTCTTTCAAGTCGCACCTCGGTTTGACCAGAGGCAGGTGAGACGGGGAACAGAAAGGGATCAGGACAACAGCAAACACCAAACTGTGCAGCTACACTTGAGATCAAAGGACAAATATTTTGGGTAACACCTGCAGAAACTGTGATGAATTCCCCAGATGATGATGGATGGTCACTGAGAAGAGCCTGACTTAGTGCACAGCACCGGGTGTTCTTAACATTTTTATACACCCTTCCAAAAAATACCTGTTTTGCTGAAGTCTTTGCCTCCTGGGAAAGGAGCAGGCCACCCTTGGAGAAAATAAGGTTTCTCACTTTTTAATTCTCACTTTTTAAAATCCTACATGTAGGCACTTATAGCTTCACACTCACCAAACATTGCATTTTTTGCCAAAATCTAGTCCCTTACAGCAGAGCACAATTCTTTTTTCATGACAACTGTTGCTTTATCTCCTTACCTCAGTGAATTTTTTTTGTTTTGTTTTGTTTTTTTCTTTTTGATAATTTTCTAAACAAGGATAAATCTGCTAAATCCCATAAGGTACAGGGAAGTCATAGGCACCCTGAAAATCAAGTAGCAACAGTTACCTCAGGAAAAGTCACTCTAACAGAAAGTGGAAAGATTAAATAGAAAATTCTGCAAATAGGTTTTAATGGAAAATCATGATCCTTTCCTTTGAGTGCAATGTAATCACTATCTAATATACAGGTCCCCTTTCCACAAGGAGAGACACACGAAAGGTAGGTGTAATTTTCCAAACACTGCATTTCTTCCAGTCTGTCTAGATAAAGTATAGACATAGCAACTGATTTACACAGAACCATTCGGCTTTTAAACCTCACAAAACTTTTCCAGAAAAGAAAACCTCAAATGCAAATGTTTTCAGATATATCCTGCTTATAAGTTTTTCAAAATCATTTATTTGCTCTATCCGTTTGCAGTAGCAAGAATTTTTACTTTTTCACCTTTTCTTCTTTTGAGTCCTTTTGTTTCAGAATGAAATTTTGAACCTTTTTTTTTTTTTTTCCTCGTATCACTACCTTTACAGCTAACCCTTTGTTGGTTACAAATGTTAGGTACATTTACTTGTGCAAGTAGGCTTTGGGTTCAGGATGGGGTCAGCAGACATTATCTGTGCTGATAAATGTGGATTTTTGCCTATGAATAGGATTGTGGGAACAAAAACCCAGGTATAGACCTATACTCTGCAGCTGTAATAGCCTTTGCTATGAGTAACTCTGCAAAGATGGGATCTGCTGGGGCTTCTCTTTGTGTGTGTTTGCACAACTGAAACACCACAGATCATACTTGCAAAGCCTTCCCCCTCCGCCCCCACCTTGGAAAGCCATATCTGTCCTTATCTTCTGCATTAATCTTTCCCTGTACTGAGACAGTAAAGTTAGGACACAGGATGGCTTTGTCTGCAGGAGCACATTCAGACTTTGTCTTCCAGACTAATTTTCTGCTTGGGTTACTTTCCTAATTATAATTTGTGTTCTCATCATGTCGTGGAAGAGTACATTTTAAATCAGCTTGCAATGCACAGTGTAGAATACCAGTTTATAGCCCTGTCCGTAACCTGGAATACCAGCTTTAAATTTGTCATAATGCAAATGCCATAATAATTGCAAGTTTTCAAGCCTGTGATCTAGTTATTTTTTCCCCCAGCTACTTGTAAACTGAAGGTTCAGGTTTCATTTTCCCATTCCATATGTAAGACCATTGGGGTAGGATGTTGATCTGCCTCCTTACAATCAGAGCTGTGTATGTTATGGATCGTGTTCCAAAACACTGTTAAATTTGTGGAAAGGGGGGGAAAAATTACATTAATTATGCCCTCTTTAGCCTTCTTATGCTTGCTAATAGGTTTTAAATGGACTATTTGGGTTGGTATTTCTTTTTTTTTTTTTTTTTACCTATAACCACAAAAAAAAATATGTTTCATTCTCTAAATTAGAACTATTTCCTGGGAATGGAGAAATAATTTTTAGTGAGTGACAGAAATATGATGCCTGATTCTGGCGAGACTAGAAGCGGCTAAGTTTTCAACTCTGAATTAACCACCTAGTCCTGGGAAACAGTCTCATGCAAAAATTTCAGGGGCATCTTATTCTATTGAGTCGATTGAGTCTTGAGCGGCACTTTTTTTAAAGAGTGGTGCCATGCACAGAAGCATGTGTATGGGGGAAAAAAAAGTTATATATATTGCTTACAAATTTATTTGAATATCTTTATTTGCACACCTAATCTAGCCTGATTTACCTTACCATAGCTTCTACTTGCATGTACCTCACCGAGCCAGGGTTTTATAACAAGATAATGTTGCCTGTGAGGTGTTGGTTACATGAAAGCCAGACTGTTTCCTACCCTATGGGATCGTAACCTGTTGTTGGGACACAGCAGGATAAATGACAGTACCCACTCAGCTGCATTGGGTGTGATACTTGTGATGCTAGAGGGAGAAGGAGCCCAGCTTCCATGTCTCCCTGGTCCCACTTTGCAATCTGTTGAAATGAGATTGCATGTTTGGATCTGGTTTGTCCCTGAATAGTGATATATAGCCCTCATCCCTTGTAGCCTTACAGGCAAAATCTCAATGCAGCCCTGGTGGGTTGTAGTTATAGATCATTAGTTGCAAGAATAATCCGCTGTGAAAGTGTAGGATAGCATGAGAACTTGTTGTCCCAGCGCAGCCATACTTATTTGAGGGCTTTTGCATGACAAGCATGAGCGTTTTCCAGCAGGATACAGATGTTTTGGATTGTGTTATGAAAAATCGGAATATTTTGGCCCTGTGTGTGCCCTGAGCACAGCTATCTACACCATGGATGTGAGAGAGGTGCTCCTTTCTTTGCAGAGAGCTCAGGAGAAGGATGATGAAATGTCTTCTCAGACTGGCCACCTTAGGAGTGACATGCCAAAGGAAGGAAAAACAGTGCTGGGGTCCCACTGCTGTACAAGGGAAAACAGAAAGAAGTTTCAACCTTTGTCTCTCAGTAACCACAGGATCTGTCCCCCCATCCAGGCTGCCAGAAAACCACCCAGCTGATGCTGGAAATTAACTTTTCTGAGGAAGAGCACGTGAGATCTGTCAGCTCTGGGCATGGCAGGACAGGGGGGTGCAACGGTCCCGGGGAAAGTGTAGCTCAGCGCTTCCATCATCTCCCCAGACTTGAGCAGCTGAGCTGTGGAAATCACTTTGACGTAAATCTCTCAGCAGCTTTTTTGTCCGAAATAAATGGTGCATAAAGGAAATGCAAAATTGTTTGGTGGACAGGATTATCTGTGTGTTTACTGCTCTCAGCACTTTTCCTTTGTCTTTTGACTGTGTAGTTCCCCTCGGTGTGAATAGCTGTGCATGCAGCTAAAGCTGCTGAACACAAGCAGGGTGTGAGCGAGCTCTCCCTTTAAACCTGTGACAGCTTTGCACTTGTGGTTGCAAGAAATGTCAAGCTAAAAGAATCACTAGTAGCAGAAAGTAATTATTTTTCATTTCCAAGGTTGTCTGTTCAGCGTCAACCGAAATATAAACTTTCTATAGTTCTGCATCATTACCATACCCCTGGATTTAATTTATTTATTTATTATTTATTTATTACTTTCATTTCCATTTGTTATTTTACATATGTACCCTCACAGATACGTGCACACAGTTGTGGCACTTCATACTGGTTTTGTTTCATAATATGCCAGACCTTCAGGTCTATTTTAGTATGTATTATTCTGTTGCCATAACAAGGTGATGATATATAATATTTGTATAAGGATTCAAATCAATGTTTATCACATCAGAGCACTATCATTTAAAAGGAAAGCACAAATCAATAATGCATTAAGCAAGAGAGAAATGAATGATTTGAATCTGTTGTTCTTCTCCCCTCTAATACTTTCAAAAGAAATTGCATTGTTTAAATGAAGTTTGATCATTTTTTGATTAAATGAGTCTGATTTGATAATCTAATAGTAGTTAGCATGGTATTCATCACATGATAAACAGTGGAAATGCACAATTATCGTATATATTTTTCAGTTTGCTAAAACTTCTTATTCATTAAAAATATTTCATTATATTAAAAATGCTGGGGGTGAGGGGGTTGGGGGGAGGTGTTATATGGTTTTCCAAGCTGAATGAAATAGCTTCTTTAAATATAGACAAAATTATTCATTTCAAGTTGGAACCATTCATGTTCAAAAAGCTTGTCTCATGAAAAATGAATGGAACTGCTTTGAAATAGAAAATGTTACTCTTTAGAAAAGAGATATATCCAATCTAGGAAATGTTAGGAAGCCTAACGCTTCTGGAAAAATTGCAGAAGTTTTGCTTGGGGTTTGAATTTTTGACTAAAACAACCAGAGGAATAGACATAAATATGTGGCAGATGATCAGCTCAGTCTTTATTTTCTTTTTTTTTTTCTCTGTTTATTAACTTCTAATTGCCTTGTTATAGCTGGAAGAACAAAACTTATCATTCTCTGGTATCATGTATATGTTGAAACTCAAGGAAGGGCCTGATTTTCTTTCTCTGAATCTGTCCAAACCCTAGAGAAAGCCACATGGTCTCCTGCATTGGAAGATGGGCTAAATGAATAAGTCCATGGAATTCAAATGCACCTTTAGCCCTACTCATTTCCTAATTCACCAGCAATAAAGTGGTCATTGCTGATGACACAGGG